CATCTGGTCCCCACTGGACCCTCATCATTTCCTTCACCTGCTCCTCCACCAACCAAACTGTGCAGCTCTGCAACTGCATCCTGGCCCATCCTCACCCTTTTGCCCCCAACCCTCACCTCCTTGTACCCCCAATATGTTTTTCCCAATAAAAAAAGGAAAAAAATAATAATAGTAACTGCTACCATGAAATTTGATGGTGTTAGGTGCCACACAACTTGCTTGTCTTGGAGATCTTTGTTATTTGCTAGTTGTCCATGGCATCCCCAGAACTAAAATAGATGGAGCAGAAAAGACATGGAAATAATTTTCACAGAGGAAGCTATTTGAATGGCCCACAGACACATGAAGAAATGCTCAAAATCACTGGCAATAAGAGAGATGCAAATTAAAACTACAATGAAAAAAAAAAAATAAAAAAAAAAGAAAAAAAAACACCAAAAAAACTACAATGAGATACAATCTCACCCCAGTAGCAGTTGCAAAGTTTAATATAACAGCAAGTAATAAATGTTGGAGAGGGTGTGGAGAGATAGGAACTCTCATACATGTTGGTAGGATTGTAAAATGGTACAGCCACTTTGGAAGGTAGTTTGGCTATTGTTCAAAAAGCTAAACATAGGAATTCCTTATGAGCCAGCTATTTCATTACTTGGAATATACCCTAGGAAAATGAGAATTGAGGCAGAAATGGAGACTTGTACACCAATGTTTATAGCAGTGTTGTTTACCGTCACAAGAACATGGAAACAGCCCAAATGTCCAAACACAATTGAATGGATTGAGAAATTATGGTACATTCACATGATGGAATACTGTAAAGCATGCAGGAGCAATGATTCTGAAAATCACCACATAACTTGACAGGGACTGGAGAGCATTATGTCAAGTGAACTGACTCAGTCCCAAAAGGAGAAATACTGTATAAGACCATTATTGTAGAAATAGAATAATAACTAGTAAAATGTGTGTTAGGGTGCAGGGAGGGCAGGGGAGGAACAGAGGGGTGAGGATGGGCGTAAGGATAATCATAGGGCCGCACAATTTAATGAGTAGAAGTAGGGGTGGGTAAAGGAAATGGGAAAGATCTGATGTGAAAACAATGTACACAAACTTTGTGAGTAAATCAATAGAAAGGAAAAATTTTGTTAAAAAATGGCAGGAGAGGGCCTATTAAAATTGTGTTTTATTTCTATAAGCAGGAAAGCTCTTAAGTTTAATGAACAGAGATCTAATTTGAATGACCAAAACTAATCACACCATCAACAAACGAATGGCTAGAGAAGCTGTGGTATATTCACACAATGGAATACTATGCTGCATTAAAAAACAAGGAACTCATGCAATATTACTCAA